CCTAAATGTTTGAGCACCCTCTATGAAACGTCAAGCTACCCCACAGCACCCCCAAAATAGAATCTCTGGCGCCGCCACTGAGCCTGACTATTTGTGTTGGGGTGGCCCGACTTTTTTTTTTCTCCAACTGCTGTAGTCCTTCAGAATAAAATCCCCGGTGTGTGTGTGTGTGTGTGTGTGTGTGTGTGTGTGTGTGTGTGTGTGTGTGTGTGTGTGTGTGTGTGTGTGTGTGTGTGTGTGTGTGTGTGGCCTAGCAATACATTACTATACTTGTGGGGACCTAAATCTGTTTACACAGTCACGTGTGGGGACTCGCCTCCCTTATGGGGACAAAATAGAGGTCCCCATGAGGGGAATCATTACTTTTAGGGTGAAGACTTGGTTAGGGTTAGGGTTAGGGTTAGGCATGTGTTGGTTATGGTTAAGGTTAGGATAAGTTTCCAGGAAATGCATGTAAGTCAATGTAATGTCCCCTGAAGTGATGTATACATGGTGTGTGTGTGTGTGTGTGTGTGTGTGTGTGTGTGTGTGTGTGTGTGTGTGTGTGTGTGTGTGTGTGTGTGTGTGTGTGTGTGTGTGTGTGTGTGTGTGTGTGTGTGTGTGTTTCAGGGCGGTGGGCTGTATTTTCGGGGAGCTGCTGAACGCGTCTCCTCTGTTTCCGGGAGAGAACGACATCGAGCAGCTGTGTTGTGTCCTCAGAGTCCTGGGAACACCGACTCAGGAAAGCTGGCCTGTAAGATCCATTATCAGCAGACGCGAGGCCTCATAAATCCATACATATACATCTAAACTGACGTATACATTTAGGTGGTAACATAACATATGAAATGTTCATAAGTTTAGCTATAGTTAAAGTGACATCTGACAATATTATTGTTGCTCTCTGCAACCGTGCCATGGAGACACAGAATAAATATCCTCTGTTCATTTCAGATGACCAAGTTACTTCAGATCAATATACAGTACTTGTTCATATCAATGTTATATCAATCAGTTGTGTTCAAATGTAATGATGCAAACTTCAGTTATCATTGGTCAAGTCTGTTCAGTTTTTAATTACATCTATATAAGTTAAATGTGTACTTCTGTGACAACATCATTGTGTTGATGCTCTCTGTGTTTTGCGTCTCTCTCCAGGAGATCGTGGAGCTGCCAGATTACAATAAAATCACCTTTAAGGAGAATCCAGCGATCCCATTGGAGGAGATCGTCCCCGACACGTCTCCTCAGGCCGTCGACCTGCTCAACAAGTTCCTGGTTTATCCGTCCAAACAGCGCTGCTCCGCCAGAAAGGTAGGAAACAGGAAGTGACGTGTAGTCGATACAGAAGATGGAGTTCCTCAGGGCTCCCCATTAGGTCCCATTTCCTTTCCTGTGTAAGTGCATGTATTCACATTTTAGTCCAGAAACAAAATCATTCTATAACTTCACTGTTTACGGACCCTTTGTCATAATACTGTGTTGGTACTGCATTTCGCCCACTATTGAATTGCATTGTGGGAAAAGTAGAATGCAGGATATCTCCCCCCTTTGATGTTCATATTTGGACCAATCTGTTTTTGATCTGTTCAAGGAACTGGACAGCAGGCAGATTGATGAGTTGGTTAGTTTATGAATTGATTGGTTCATTGATTGGTGGTCCTCCTCTGCAGGCTCTCCTTCATCCGTACTTCTTCTCCTCTCCTCTTCCTGCTCACCACTCAGAGCTGCCCATCCCTCAGAGGGGGGGTCGACCCCCCCGCCAGCGGCTGCAGGCTCCGCCCCCTGACTTCTCCGTGGACCTGCCCCTGCAGAACAGCGTGGTTGACCCCGCTCTGCTGCAGGGCCACGCTTCCTGTCTCTGAACGACCAATCAGATTCCTCTCCCAGTGACTCTCTGATGATGTTTTTACATTGTATGTTTATTTATTTTGTTTTGTTTCATTGACGTGTTTTTCTTTTACTTTCTGAAGTGCGGAAGTGATTTGTTGATGAACCTGTACATATCATTGTTCTTTCATCACATTTCCTGTTGCTGTTCAGTCAAACTTTCATAAAGCATTTCTGCGGTGAATAAAAAAAGATGATAATATGATACATGAACGTGTGGAAGAGACTTTTATTAACTCTACAAGGACGAATCATTACTATGGAAGTCCTCTCTGTTGCTGTTAAGCATGGCGTTGACACAAAGGTCATGTTAAAAAATAAAGAATTATAATTTCTGAACAAAAATGTACCGTGAATATTGTGTGTGTGTGTGTGTGTGTGTGTGTGTGTGTGTGTGTGTGTGTGTGTGTGTGTGTGTGTGTGTGTGTGTGGGTGTGTGTGTCTCACAGCTCTCCTCTTCGGCCTCTGCAGTAGTTTGTTGTTGAGTTTCTGTCGGACGCCGCAGGTGTTACACAGGTGACCTGCAGCGTCCCGTCTCCACAGGGGGGCGCTGCTCGTCCCACAGCTCACACACACTCTCTGCTCTGAACACATACACACACACACACACACACACACACACACACACACACACACACAAGAGAGTTCCCGATGACCTCGGACAGGTCTGAGAGCATGAAGTCAAACACCAGGACGAAGCCCGTACCGTGAGGGAAGACCTCCTTCAGCTTCACCACCTGAGGAAGAGGAGGAGGAGGAGGAGGAGAGTGGGAAAAACCTTCCATACGAACAAATTCAAAACTTCAGTGCATCACAACAAAAGGTTGTGGAAATTGGAATAACAGTAATGATGAGCTGAAATATTGACACTTTAATATCTTATTCAATCTCATTGTTAAGGTTCCTTAAGCCTTTTTATTCTGAACCACCAGACAGAGTGTGTGGAAGAGACAAAGCAGTGATAACAGCAACAATACAAACAACGGTAAACATGTGGAAATGTATTGGTGATACAATGCAAAGCCACACCTCACTAAAGAAAATGTAATTTATAGGTCTCTATAATTAAATGCAAGTACAAATAATAGTTGCCAAAAACGAACAGCTCCAAGCTACAAGTATTGCAGACATTTTTTTTGTTGAAATATTGGATCATTAATAATGCCATACTTTGTTCAAGTTGGCACCATATTTATTTACTTTTTAATACAAAAGTGCTATATTAACTATGCAATATAGATAATGATTGCTGATATTTCTCTTTGCGCAGGAGTAGAACGAGCACAACGTAGCAGAAGATAGAAATACCCTTACAGTTGTACTTCAGTACTCAAGTTTTTGGTAAAATACTTTAAATAAATGAAAAAAGGTACATTTTGTGTCATTTGTCAAACATTTTTAAAAGGAACTTGACAAACTGTGCCCCCTCCCTCACTTCCTGTTTCTCCTTCAGGGCATCAGTCAAAGTTTACCGGAGACACATAATCTCCTGCAGCTCTGTGAGTATCAGCACCGCTCTCATATCAGCACTTAGTTCTATCTTTTATTTCATTTGGACCTTTTTGTTTTAAGTTGTATCTTTTATTCTCTGTGCTATGTAGGTCATTCTTTTTTTGTCCTTTATCTTGTTTTTTTAATTAATTATCTCTTTGTTTTAAACTTTTTAAAATCATGTATTTGTTGTCTTTTACCACTTATTTTATTATTTTCATTTAATTATTTTCTCTGTCCCTCTTATATTTGTGTCACTTCTCATTACACACAATTTGATTTACATATGTTTCTGCTCTCACTCTGTCTCTCATTTCTCTCCCTTTTTATCTCCACACAGTGACGATGTCAGATTATTTGCAGCTCTCTGATTGGTCCTCGACTGTTATAACAACTTTGTACGAAACATCAATGTTCAACACAAAGGTCAGAATCACTTCTAACATTCACTGTGGTTCATACTGAGCCCCTGTATGCACATTTAAGTGCTTTGGACCAAACCTCCTCTTGTTCAAATGCACTTCATTTTTACTTAATGTTACCAACCAAACCTGCCCAGCAGTTCAACCCGTGTTTTTATTAGATTTTAGGTTGTTTTGAGCTCATAGTTTAAGTCAGTTTTCCCCAAATCTCATATAATTAGCTGTTTGTTTCTGTTTCTTAACGGTGAGGAAGAGGGTAACAAGGGAAAGACTTAACATAGACAGCAAAGATAAAACCGAGAAACAATGCTTTAATGAAGTGAGAAACGAAAGATCTGGGTATATATTTGATAAGAAACAGAAACTATGTATATTTTTACCCAAAAATTCTGAAGAGCTAGTGAACTGTCTTATGAGTTTTGTATGTTATATGTTTTCTATGGTAAAGATTTATCAACAAGTTTATTATGAATTTTGAACCTCCGAGGCTGCCATAGTTGTTTAAACCGGCTAGAGGTGACATCTGATAGAGAAAAGAAAGCTTATTCTGCTCCCATACCGGTATGTATTCCGTTCCTAATGCATATCAATCTGTTTCTTGCAGGTTAGCCCCGCCCCTTCACACACCTTCCTCCAACCACCAAGCATCTCCCATGAGGCGGAGCGGCACAACTTCATGAGCTTGTTGGACGACTCCAGCTGTCAATCACTCAGCGCTGTTTATTCCTCTTTATATGGTCATGCTGCTGTGACTCCACTCCCTACACCTGGATGGAACGGTTACTATGGCAACTGTTACCCCTCTCCATCCTCCTTCTCTAATGATTGGTCGTTACCTGAAAGTCTGTCATGGGGAAGGGGCCAAGCACCAGGTGAGCAAATACACCTGTCTGACCTGCACCTGTCTGTGTGTTTGACGCAGGATATTCATGTTCTTGGGGTGTGTGTGTGTGTGTGTGTGTGTGTGTGTGTGTGTGTGTGTGTGTGTGTGTGTGTGTGTGTGTGTTCAGAGCAGAGAGTGTGTGTGAGCTGTGGGACGAGCAGGGCCCCCCTGTGGAGACGAGACGCTGCAGGTCGTCACCTGTGTAACACCTGCGGCCTCCGACAGAAACCCAACAACAAACCACTGCTGAGGCCGAAGAGGAGAGCTGTGAGACACACACACACACACACACACACACACACACACACACACATCTGTATGTTGCTGTATGTTGAGACATTGGGTTTTAACATCATTTAGCTTTGGCGCTGATTTATGAAAATGTTTTGATATAAATGTGTTTATTTAAATATAGTATACTTACATTTGTTTCAGATTATGAATCAGAGAAAAGGAACTCAGTGTGTGAACTGTTTGACTGAAACTACAACGCTGTGGAGGAGGAACTCTGCAGGAGAATCGGTGTGCAACGCCTGCGGCCTTTACTACAAACTACACCAGGTACTGCAAACTACACATCACACCTGCTAAGCTAACAGCAGCTAATGTTCAGCACCACTGCTGTTCCTAACAAGCCTAACATTTAACTTCTAGCATCTGCATTTACGCTTTAACAATCATAACCTGGTGTTTATATATTGAGATTATCCTGCTAACTTTGTCATGTCAGGTCAACAGGCCGCTGGCGATGAAGAAAGACGGGATCCAAACCAGAAACCGTAAAGTGACCAATAAGAATAAGAGGAGCAGGAAATTCCACCAATCAGATACTAGGCTGCCCTTTCTGGTCCCGCCCACCACCATAGACCACCTTCACCATTCAAACAGCTGCCCTCTGACCTCGTCCTGACTGAGTTTCTGAATGGGACTTTCTGCATTGTTTACTTTGAACAAGTTAAATGTTTTTAATAAACCTCTTACTGGGAAGTGATTCTGTAAATAAAATACGTTTAAAAATGATTTCTTTCGTGGCACGTTTGGTTTCTTGTGTCTGTGATTCAGTTTTCTGTCAGCCAGAATACAAACCAAAGAGAGATTGTTATATTGAAATAAAACAACTCTGTGGCTTTCCAGTCTTCCTACACAAGGAAAACTTCACTGGTGACCTTTCCTCTGCTCCACCCACTCTCTCCACACACTATGGACTGTCCAATTAGAACATGATCAGTTGCATTAGTGTCAAATGGAAAAAACGAGCCTACAATCAGGTATAGTTAATTGAGCCGGTGTAGATTAGTGCCGAGTGAGCAGCATTACAATTACAGTATAAAACTTCCAATAATTATTTTTTGACTGAAAGCAAGCTGTAGATAAGTCATTTGGGTGCATTGATGACTTATTGACCATGAAGGTAGCATCTCCTTGCTTCCCTCGACACAAAGTAAACGGGATTTCTTTCTTAAAATAATCTCTCTGGCAAACATGTTTATGATACTTACACATTTTTTTCTTCAGGATAACCTCCACATATTAACACCACGTTATGATTTTTTAGGTGTAAATGCAATCTCCTGAAGTGAAAAGCTAACGTTAGGCTATAAAGCACGTGTGTCAAACTCAAGGCCCGGGGGCCAAATCAGGCCCTTGGTGGATTTAATTTCGGCCCGCAGGATAATTTCTAATTACTATTAGATCTGGCCGGTATATTGCACGCACACCTTCACTCCATCCTGAGGGTCTCCTCAGCTCAGAGCCTGAGCCCAAACATGGATGAACTTGCACCCAAGATGAGATGCCAAGTATCTGAACTAGCATCACAGAGCAGCACACTGAGTTTAATGGATGTTTCCTTCTGCACTTTCTCTCTTGAGACAACAGGGCATGTTTGGTTTTCTCTTTGAGGGAATAGTTTTCTTGAAGCTGTTGTTGGCCTGTGGAAAAATGTAATCATAAGAAATGACTCGAAAAGCTGCAGATAGAGCCATAAGAAATGAATGCAACTGATTATTTAATGTTTAATGTTTTTATAGGCAATCATTTAAGCTTTGTTAGTTCCAGGTTTAATATGTGCAATAAGTTCATTTCAATACGTTCTGCAATAGACATTGAACCAGTCCGGCCTCGACTAGTACCCATTNAGAATGGAGTTGAGACAATGTCTATGAGAACTGATTGTTTCAAAAGTAGGCGGTTTAAATCCTGATTTATATTTTGTTTACTGTAAATTTCAACATGTATATTTTCTACTTTTTGTATTGCTGTTTTATTTCCATTTTGAGACGTTTACATTTTAGAATTGTTTATTTCTACTCTTAATTTCTCTTATGCGCAACACCTTGTTTTTATGCTGCTGCAAACATTTCCCAAATTGGGATCAATAAAGTACATCTTATTATCTTTACAAGCTGATTCTAAGCCACATGTGTCAAACTCAAGGCCCGGGGGCCAAATCAGGCCCGTGGTGGATTTAATTTCGGCCCGCAGGATAATTTCTAATTACTATTAGA